ATGTAGCTAGGGGCATTGTTGTGGATGGCTTTGTAAGCTGTGGTTAGTATTTTGAATTTTATACATTGGGTTAGTGGAAGCCAGTGAAGGGATTGGAGGAGAGGGGCAGCAGTCGCTGATCGTTTGGTAAGGTGTATGAGTCTAGCAGCAGCATTCATAACAGACTGAAGGGGGGATAGCCTGTGTAACGGTAGACCAGTGAGGAGGGAGTTTCAGTAATCGAGGTGGGATATAACCAAGGTGTGGATGAGTTTTTTTGTGGTGTCATTGGTCAGGAAGGGCGGATTTTGGAAATGTTCCAGAGGTTGAGGTGGCAGGATTTAGCCAGTGAGTGGATGTGGGGCCCAAAGGAGAGGTCAGAGTCTAGGATTACGCCTAGCACCCTGACATGGGGGAAGTACCAATGGTTGTGCTGTTGATCTTAATGGTAAAGTCGTGAGTGGGGGATCGGGGAGAAGGAAATATAACAAGCTCAGTTTTTGAAAGATTGAGTTTAAGGTAGTGATGTGACATCCATGCTGATATGTCGCTTAGTAGATTTGTGACACGTGAGCAGGTTGAGGGTGTGAGCTGGGGAGTGGAGAGATAGATCTGGTCTGGGTGTCATCAGCATAGAGGTGGTATTGGGAGCCATGGGAGTTGGTATCAGTTGGCCCAGGGAGGAGGTATAGAGAAAGAAAACAAGGGGCCCAAGGACAGAATCTAGTATATATATATATATATATATATATATATAAAATTAATTTTTGTCAACAATTTTATATTCTATATTTTATTTATTTCATTTTTCACTTTGTTTTTTGATATATAGGAATTGTGCAATTGTTTTATGTAGCACAGCATTTTTTCACTTCATAATATGATTGTATAATTTGCCACACTGAGACATGGGTTGTGTGCACGTGTGCACTAGCGGCTACTTATCTATACGTTTAATTTTTTGTTTTGTTTTCATTTCACCATAGTTATCTCTTGAGTTATTCAGTTTACTTTAGAACCTTTTAAACAACTTTATGGTTTTAGGGAATCCTTGCAAAAATGTCTATATCTACAACTCATGATACATTAGTGTGAGGGTCAGTGAAAAGAAAGCTCCTTACATTTGTGGTCATTGAGATTAATTACCCCCTCACATATAGCTAAAAAGATCTATGGTGTCAGTGAGAACGTACCAGAGAGGCAAACATTTCTCATTGGAAGGAAGCCCCAGTAACCTCTGGAGGAACCCTAGGGTTCCATAGAACCATGGTTGAGAAACCCTGCTTTGAAGTGTTACTGTTACATTAAAAAAATAAAACCTTTTTTTTTTTAATATTTCCTAACTAGCCGAAACTATGTTTAAGTATCTTGTAATTACTGCTTGCACCATATGGCTTGATTTACAGCTAGGTATAAATACGTATCATTAATTTTTGTGGAAGGGCAAAGAGGATTGCGTACGAAGGACCCAGCAGAATATAATTATTGTTATTAAGTACTTCTGTCAGCGACAAAGCAGCCCATGTGACTTTGGGCCCAGAAGACAATGCGGCCCTGAACTCATATATTAATAAATGAGAAAGGTTAGTGACACATATGACAGCAAAAAGGAGAGAGAATGAATGCGTTCCCATAGTAGGAAACATGGGTATTAACCTATCAGCAGGGGACGAGGTTTGCTCTATCCCTGCCGTATGCGCTTGGATCGGAATGGATAGAAATCAGGTAGAGAAAGGGTAATTGCTATAAAACCTTTGATGAAGCAACAAGAATTACAGTGAAAAAGCTGCCATCATACTGAAATCGTGTTATATTAGCATCAGTTGGGGTTTTTCTTACTGAGTACGAGCCAACAAGTAGAGTATTCTGCGGACATTGACTGCCGGGAGAGACATTGCTAATCACATAATTAAATAATTCAGTAATTGTCAACCTTTTTTCAGTCACAGCACCCTTAAAGTATGTAAAATCTCAGAAGGATTGTGGTATGAGGATTGGGACTCCATGGTGGAAAATATATGCAAGAGCTCTAGATCTCTTTCGGTTCGTGAGACGGCCCTTAAAGTTTTAACCAGATGGTATTATACTCCGTCCAGATTACATACATTGTTTCCACAAACATCCCCTTTATGTTTCCGGGGCTGTGGCCGCACAGGTACTTTGGTCCATATATTTTGGGATTGCCCGAACATATCTTTGATCTGGCGTAAAATATCTGAGGTGGCTACCTCACTATTGGGCAACCCGATACAATTGTCCATACAGACCTGTTTATTGGGGGTTCATATCCCAGGGGTCCCTGCTGCCACTCTGAGATTGCTACATACATTATGTATTGCCACTTTATGGTCCATTGCCCTCCATTGGCGGTCCAATGTTGTACCCTTGGACTCCGTTTTGCACAGAATTGACGCTGTAATGCTTATGGAATGCATTCATTATACACTACTGGATAAGATGCACTTATACGATAAAAAATGGGAGTCATGGAAGGATTGTAGACATTTATTGCATGATTGACAACATCCCCGGTGAAGATTGGCTGACATGTATTGTTGATAGATGTATCACTCAATCTATTTTATCATTTATGTATCTCATGTACTCATAACTTTCTTGTTTACTCTATCTTCTTTTTTATGTTAATATACTTTTATGTATTGTACATTTCAAATATGCCTTATTTTTTTGGACAATATCACTTTCATACTGTGCTGTTGTTTTACTGTCTACTTATGTACAATAAAATCGTTTGTAAACAAAAAAAGTATGTAAAATCTCAAGGCACCCCAGGTCTAAAATGTAAAAAACATAAATTTTATTTATCAAAGGGAAAGCTAACCATGGGATGATGCAAACAACCATCTTGATGAACTTCAATTCCAGTAGAAGGCTGGATGTCCCCATCACATCAAATGCCCCTTCACGTCTGAGGTCCTCCCGTCACATCTGAAGTCCTGCTTCACATCAGAGGTTGGCCCTTCATGTCACAACCCCACCCATCACATCAAAGTTGAAAAGTATGTCTCCAGAGCATCAAGGGTCTCCAGAATGGGTCCAAAGCTTTATTCAGCAATTACATCATAGTTGTATGAGCGACATTTCAGAAGACGTTTGAATGGCTTCGTTTTCCAGCCGATGGTTGCTGCAGCACCCTTTTATACTCATAGTCATTTTTCAGGAATGTGTGCATTGGGAATAATGAGTTTGGACCCATCACATCAAAGTCCCCCTATACATCAGAAGGCCCTCATCACATAAGAGTACCCCTGACACATCAGAGTCTCCTCTATACATGAGAGCCCCCATCATATCAGAGTACCTCCTCAATGCATTCTGTCATCACCACAGAGTCCTCTCATCCACCTCTGATCAAGGGCAAACTGTGGAACTCAAGCCAACTGTGGACTCAAGCTTGTAGAACCCCAGGGGAACCCAAATGGCGCCCTAGCTGAAAAACACTGATATAATTGACATAAAAAGCAACATAGTTGTAATGCCTATGAAATGTGTTGGCCTTGGACCCTTTGTTTCTTCTGTAATTTTTACAATAAAGCATTGTTTCCCAAATGCCAGGGGCATGAGAGGTGTCTGATGTTATTTCTCTAAGCCAAAGGAACATAGTCACAAGATATTCTGCTGAGAACAAGATAAAAGCTTGTTTATAGAATGAAACGTGTTTATGACATCTAGTAACCTCACATTAGCGCATAAAAACCATCTACTTGACGTCTACTTGCTTGAGAAGTTAAAAATCTTTAAGTTTAGGGTAGATGAGAAGAAGTTTGGGGTAGATGAGAAGAAGTTTAGGGTAGATAAGAAACAAAAATGTGACTTTTCAGATAACAATGTGGGATCAATATGGTGGTTGAACGTGACTCTGTTATCCTTGCGGAACCCTTCTGCTAGCTCCTCCTGTGGAGGGTGTGGTGCCCACCCACTATTGGAAAGCTGCCAGAAAAATGGTTTAAAAGCCGGCAGTCTGAGCGATATCAGTGGATGGAAGCCATTCCATGTGTGAGGGGGCGCTCTGATGCTGATCACTCATCATTTTGCAGTGATGATCTTCTGCTCTTGAAGCATCCATGCCACTCAAATTGCCTCGAACGACTCAGCATTGCCATAAACTTGCCAAGTCATGTCAAAAATCTCTGTGGCAGATTTGCCAAGTTTAACACAGAATTCCACTAACCTAAAGTGACAGTTTTCTCCAATCCCCTGCATTCACCTTTTTATCTAGGGGAGCAGTAACACACACTAAAACTTACTTTAACCCATGTAGCTGATGACCAGGTCTCTTCTCTTCAGCACAGGAATGTGGGTGGAAACTCCTACTGGGGGAAGGGGGGGCAATGTTCCAACCATTTATATGATGCTGTTGGCCATTGGGGTGGGGTCAAGTCAAAGAAGAGCAACAGGGAGAAAGCTTGGGGGATCGTAGATGAAGGGGATTGTTGGTAAGCACTAGATCCATCCATTCATAAACTGAGGGGAGAGCGTGGACCAGTTCATTAATTCTTGTCTGCCCAGATTTAGACTTTAACCATTTGCCTACAGGGCACTTATACCCCCTTCTTTACTAGGCCAATTTCCAGCTTTCAGCTCTGTCGCACTTTGAATGACAATTGCGCGGTCATGCAAGATTGTACCCATATGAAATTGTTATCATTTTTTTCTCACAAATAGAGCTTTCTTTTGGTGGTATTTAATCGTCACCGGGCACTTTACTTTTGCGCTATAAACAAAAAAAGTGCAAAAAATTTGAAAAAAAAAAGTTTCTTTGTTTCTATTAGAAAATTTTTCAAACAGGTAATTTTTCTCCTTCACTGATGTGCGTTGATGAGGCAGCACTGATGGGCACTAATAGGCGGCACTGATAGGCAGCACTTATGGGAACTGATAAGAAGCACACATAGGCAGCACTAATGACGTAGCACGGATAGGCAACACTGATAGGCAGCACTAATGAGGTGGCACTGATAGATGGCATCGATAGGTGGCACTGATAGACAGCACTGATAGGTGGCACTGACTGGCATCACTGCCGGGCACTGACTGGCGACACTGCTAGGTATTGACTGGCACAACTGCTGGGCACTGACTGGCACAACCACTGGGCACTGACTGGCAGCACTGTTGGGCACTGGTGGGTGGCACTGGTGGGCACATGTGGGTGGGCACAGGTGGGTGGCGCTGCTTGGCACAGGTAGGTGGCACTTCTGAGCACAGGTGTGTGGCACTGCTGGGTGGCACAGGTGGGTGCACTGCTGGGCACAGGAGGGTGCACTGCTGGGCACAGGTGGGCGCACTGCTAGGCAAAGGTGGGTGCACTGCTAGGCACAGGTGGGCACACTGCTGGGCACAGGTGGGCGGAACTGGTGGCTGGCACTGCTGGGCACCGATCATCAGGGAACTTATCATCAGTTCTCGGCAGTACTTTCCTCACGCCTCAGGGGGCGCGCAGGAGAGCGCGTTCTGGGAGGACGTCATATGACGCCCTCCCAGAACTGGCCAGCCGCAGTGTAGACATCATTCGGCGATCTGAGGTCGGCAGGTGGTTAAGGCTCCCACATATTAGAAGCTATGATATACATCATTATACACTATTTTGCCAAAAGTATTGGGACACCTGTCTTTGCACGCACATGAACTTTAATGTCTTAGTCTTAGTCCGTATCCCAGTCTTTACAGTCTTAGTCTGTAGGGTTCAATATTGAGTTGGCCCCGCCCTTTGCAGCTATAACAGCTTTGACTCTTCTGGGAAGGCTGTCCACAAGGTGTAGGAGTGTGTCTGGGAATGTTTGACCATTCTTCCAGAAGCACATTTGTGAGGTCAAGGACTGATGTCGGACGAGAAGGCCTGGCTCGCAGTCTCCGCTCTAATTCATCCCAAAGATGTTCTATCGAGGTCAGGACTCTGTGCAGGCCAGTCAAGTTCCTCCACCCCAAACTCACTCATCCATGTCTTTATGGACCTTGCTTTGTGCACTGGTGCGCAGTCATGTTGGGACAGAAAGGGGCCATCCCCAAACTGTTCCCACAAAGTTGGGAGCATGAAATTGTCCAAAATGTCTTGGTATGCTGATGCCATAAGAGTTCCCTTCACTGGAACTAGGGGGCCAAGCCCAACCCCTGAAAAACAACCCCACACCATTACCCCCACCCCACCAAACTTTACATTTGGCACAATGCAGTCAGGCAAGTATTGTTCTCCTGGCCACCACCAAACCCAGACATGTCCACTGGATTGCCAGACAGAGAAGTGTGATTCATCACTCCAGAGAAAATGACTCCACTGCTCTAGAGTCCAGTGGCGGCATGCTTTACACCACTGCATCTGCCTCTTGGCATTGCACTTGGTTATGTAAGCCTTGGATGCAGTTGCTCAGCCATGGAAACCCATTCCATTAAGCTCTCTACAGACTGTTGTTGTGCTAATCTGAAGGCCACATGAAATTGGAGGTCTTTAGCTATTGACTCTGGAAACAGTTGGCGACTTTTGCACACTGTGCATTTCAGCATGTGCTGACCCCGCTCTGTCCTTGTACGTGGCCTACCATTTCATGGCTGAGTTGCTGTTCCCAGTTGCTTCCACTTTGCTATAATACCCCTAACAGTTGACTATGGAATATTTAGTAGCAAGAAAATGTCACGGATGGTCTTGTTGCACAGGTGGCAACCTATCTCGGTACCACGCTTGAATTCACTGAGCTCCTGAAAGTGACCCATTCTTTCACAGATGTTTGTAGAAGCAGCCTGCATGCCTAGGTACTTAATTTTATACACCTGTGGCCATTGATTGAAACACCGGAATCCAATGATTTGAAGTGTGTCCCAAAACATTTGGCAATAATATTATGTATTTCTCCTTTTAGTTATGTTAGGAAGAAGGTATCCAGGATTGCTTTGACTACAGGGGCATCTGCACACTATATTTTCATGCTTGTTCCGTGATTTGACATGATTTATCTGCTGTCCAGGGCACACGTGGAGCTAATCAGTGCTCACAATTTGCAGGCTACTTCCTTTGGGATCACACTCCAGATATTTTTTATTCTTTGCTGATTCAACATGATTTCACAGAACATACATGGAATTGACTCCCTAGACACAACCTACATTGCAGATAAGAAATGTAGAAGACATACAAATGGGGTTGAAAGGACACCTTTCCTTTATATGCAATATCTGACTGGATATGTCTTTCTTTTCTCCATAGAATAGAGTCAAGCAAAAAACTTTATCTATTCTATAGAACAAATCCTGTGTCATAGTAATAGAGGTCCAAGTATTCTCAGCAGCAATAGGTCTAGCCAAATTGTCTTAACAACATAATGGATACTGAGAATGAGACGTGAAGCCAATCACTTCAGTTCTGCAACACAATGACACAAAAAAAAAATATGTGCATATACAGTACTATGAAAAGGTTATAGGTAGGTAGATTCTATAAAATAAGAATGCTTTCAAAACTATATATTTTATTTGTTTTTTTGTATCAGTTTACAAAATGTAAACTGAGCGTACAGAAGAAAAATCTAAATCAAATCAATATTTGGTGTGATTACCCTTTGGCTTCAAACCAGCATTAATTCAATTTATAAAGCTTTTTTGAACTTCCACAAGACATCACATCCAAAGACAGGAATCTCTACCTTCTATACACTTATAACTGAAGCACAGTTTACCACACGCACCACCTCTTCCCCAATCAACTGGGAAAAAATCTTTCTCCAACCAATACATCCACACACCTGGGAAAAAACATTCACTATTACCTACAAAGCCTCTAAATGCAGCTCACACTGGGAAACGTACCTAAAAATATTGCATCACTGGTACCTCACCCCTGTCAAACTAAACTTATATTACCCCCCAACACTCGTCCACCTGCTGGAGGCAATGCGGAGAAAAAGGTTCACTTTTCCACCTACTCTGGTCCTGTAAGTCCCTCAAATCCTACTGGAACAAAGTCTTCCAAATGATCTCCTCAACTACGGGAAGACCTGTAACCCCAAACTCCGCTTTGGCTCTCCTTCATATTGGAATAGATACATTTCCCATTGATTCACGTACCATTATTATTCACATTTTAGCAGCTGCAAAAATTAACATTACTAAACTTTGGAGATCCACCAAAACTCCCTCTTTGTCACTTCTCATATCTGACCTCAACTTTCAATGTGAGATGGAAAAAAGAACGACCCTCCATAATTCTTCCTACTACAAATTTAACGCTCAATAGTCTCGATGGTTAAAAAAACCCAATTGCCTAATTAACTGATACCACTGAATACCACCTTATTATGACCTACGCCTACCAAACAGGTGCCTCCCCCATTACCTATACCCTACTACTTTGCAAGCACGGTTCACATAACAGAGAATACCTCTCATGTACATGTGATATAAACCCATTGCTTCCCCAGCCAACTGGTGGGGACTCTTTCCTTGTTTTTTTCATTTATATCTAATGTATTTAACAAATGTGAACCGTTCTCATGTTACTGTTAAATATACTTCTATTTGTATGTTAAAATTCCTTCAATAAAAACATTTGAATATAAAGCTTTTTTGAAGAAGCGCAAAGAAATAGGCAATGCTGAGGACTGTAGATGCAGTGGTCAGACAAGGAAACTTACCCAATTTACCCCCCTTCCTGACCAGGATATTTTTTGCTATACTGCGCTGCGTTATTATAACTGACAATTGCGCGGTCATGCAATGCTGTACACAAATTAAATTTATGTAATTTTGTTTCCCACAAATAGAGATTTTTTTTGGTAGTATTTGATCACCTCTGGGTTTTTTATTTTTTGAGCTAAATAAACAACCAGTTTGAAAAAAAAAATTTTTTTTACTTTCTGCTGCAAAATATATCCAATAAAAAATGTAAAAAGCTAATATCTTCATAAATTTAGACCAAAATTTATTTTTGGTTAAAAAAAAAGAAATACAATAGGCTTAAATAGATTAATTTGCACAAAAAATATAGTGTCTACAAATTATGATATATATTCTGGATTTTTTTTTAATATACTAATAACAGCGGTGATCGACTTATTGACTTATAGCGGGAATGCGATATTGAGGCGTACAATCTGACTCTAACTGACACTTTGTGGGAACCAGTGACACTAATACAGTGATCAGTGATAAAAATATGCACTGTCACTGTACTAATGACACTGGCTGGGAGGAAAGGGGTTAAACATCTACAGTGATCAAGAGGTTCATTGTGTGCCTAGCTTTGTGTAATGTGTACTATGTGCTGTTTTAACTATGTAAAGTGCGGGATTCTATTCCCTGCTTTGCAGGGAAAGAAAATCCAGCACACCACCACTGACAGGACATCTCTGCCTTGTTTCCATAGGCAGAGCTCTGTTCGGTCTGTCGCCCAGACGTCAGCGGGTGCCTGCGGTAATCTATTGGCTGTCTCCCACTGATCGGCTTCTGCTGTGACAAATCAAGGCAGAAACAGCACGCCGGCTACCAGGAGATGCAAAATCACGTATATATATATATATATATATATACACGTGGTTTTGCATAACACAGCCACCCTGTACATGGGGCTATGCTATGGGGCGGTCGTCAAGTTAATGCAGGAGATGAAAGACACATCATACTTACTTCCCTTCAACATTGGAAGATGTCCAGCAGTGCCATCAGCACAAAACTGGTGGAAACCAGTGGGACCCAGCTACTGTTCGGAGAAGTCTTTTTTTTTATTTATTTATTTACTGTGGCTATGTACTATGACTATGAACCCTTTACTCATTCATATAGAGGTTGGACTGATATCTCAGGGTTGTGGTGAAAGACCTTTGCCCATCTGATGAAGACTATGTGGTATGGCAAAGCCCCCCCTGGCAAGGTAACTCCTCCTGGTGAAGATATATGGCCTAGAATGGGCCAGGAGGGTTAAGGCATGTTCAATTCCTGCCCCTTTCCTGGCAAACCGAGCTGCATGCTCACATAGCATTCTGGTATGGATTTTGGGGAGTAACCCACAATTTTTGCGGGATATCTTAAAATCTATTCAAGCCCTATCGAGTGTGGATTGTGGGGTGTTTTTTTAATTGGTTTTTATGGTACGTTTCTGTATATTGTGACTTGTCAGCAATGCATTCATGCAAAGTTTTAAAGTTAATGTATGAGGTGTGGCAATTTAATTCCCAGAATGGACTATAAAAAAAAGAAAAAGGCTTGCTTACCTATACACTAGCAGCTGTTGACACTTTCAAAGTAGTCCCCTCGTGAAGTGATGCACTTTTTTTTTCCATCAATAGTTTTATTGAGTTTTACAAAATAGTACAATTAAACATTAGTAAATGAAGGCATAACAAAGCGCCATAACAGTAGGCTTTTACATAAGGTTTTACAGGCTTGTTT